TTATGCAACTATGCAAAAATATCAGAATTTTTATTTGAATCTTGTAGTTCAAGTAATGGACATGGACCTTTTTTTCGTTCACACCCAAGGTACTTCATACGGTTTGACTTTGAAAAGGTCTTACTTGAACATGTAAGACTGACAGGTAAAACCTTACGTGTCGACGGATCTTTACTCAACTGATAATGATGTTTGGCTTGTAGTAAATAAAGATAAAATACCAAATTCTTAGAACATTATTCACGAGTCAGAAAATATTGAGAAATGATAGATAATAATGAATAAAATTGTCATTCGCGATACTCGCAAATTGCAAGGGATTAGAAGAAATCTGAAAAAGTAAATAAACTATGTAGTAAAATCTCATTGAATACCTTCGACGCTTATACAGGGTGGTCAAATATTTCGAAAAAGTTCCATATCATTTTGTCTATTTAGGATTATCGCTTTCATTTTTTTTATAAAATAGGTATACAACCAAGTGTATTGTACACGTTTTAATACTAGTTCTTATGGATATACAGGGCGGTTCAAATACATTTTTGTGCTAAAATTGTAGATTTTTAATTAGAACTCTAAGTATACCGAGTGCGTCTCAAAAGTGGCTGACCCCTATAACTTTTTTATTTTTTTCAGATACAACAACAGAAAACAACGAAATTTGGTATGTCAGTATATGACACCAATTAGGATTGATTGACTATTCAATTGTTTTCGGTCACTTCCTGTTTCACCGGAAATGACTACAACATTTTTGATTTTTAAATGGCACCCTCGGCTTTTTTTTACTTTATTCGATAGAAAATGACACTCTAAGCAGAATGACATCATATGTCAACTTTTGATATTTTCGCTTAAAACAAAATTGTAAGTATTTTAAATTTCAATCTAGAGTGTCATGGCTGTGTTAAAAACACTAACTTTTAATCAAGGAGCCTTGGAAAAATAGATTTCATCGTCTAATGTTTAATACTGCAAACCAATAGACCCCTACCCAAGCATCATATTCAAAGATCTTAGATATCATCATATTCAACTTATCTTAGATAGGAACTCTCGGAAACAAGAAATAACCATCTTATACGATAGTCTTGAGTGCGATCAACTCAGTAACCGTCGGTGAAGTTGATCAAAGAATGCCTAGAGGAGCTGAACAAATTAAGCAAAGAAAATAATGTACTTCTACTCTGGGTGCCAGCCCACAAAAGTATAGAAGGTAATTAAAAAACAAACTATCTAGTTAGAAAAGGAGCGAACACTCCACTAACTGGACCTAAACCGTTCTGCTTCCCAAGTGGAAACCAACTTAAAGGTTGATTCTCACTATATACCTTCCGTTTCCATTCCATATCCATTCCATATCTGTTTCGTATTTTTTATTGTATTGACGCTATACGCAAGCTTCCGTTCCGTATCAATTCCATACTTTTTATTGTACAAATTACGAAAGTTTTATTTTAAAAATTTGTATATTTTGTAAAAGGTAATAAATTTAATTAAGAGATGAAAGATAAATAAATATCACCAAAATGTTAACAGAGCTGGTACAAATGTAAGACATTGACAATGCTGTTTCCGATACGCTTCAGTCCGTCCGCCAAACAAATGTATGGAAGGAAAGGATAGGATATGGAACGGAAGGGAAACGGAACGGATAGTGTGCATTGTCCTATTCATTTACATGATATAATATTTTATGTAAACGGAAGGGAGCTGATATGGAAGGAGAGGAGTTATAAACGAGAAACCCCATAAAACACAGGAAAATAGGACATCCTGTGCTGATACTGTACTGATTTATTATTCCAAGAAAACGTTTGGAGAGATGGAATGGTATCAAAGTTCATTAAAATCTTCCCTTGCAAAAAGTTGGTCAATTTAATGAACAACATGCTCTCGAACAGAAATATCCAAGTGCATTTGAAGGGAGAAAAAAGTCGCACTTACAACAGCAACAGTGGCCTCCCGCAAGGCTCTGTACTTGCCCCTATTCTTTTTAATATCTATACCGCCAACCTCCCTGCTAGAGTCACCAAAAAGTTATATACGCAGATGAAATTGCACTTTCCTACCAAACAACTGATTTCATTAGAGGCGAAAATATTCATCAGTATTATCGGTTGCATATTATCAGTTGATTTGCAGAGGTTAAATGACTACTTTCACAAGTGGAGGCTTCGCCCAAACATGCTAAGACTGAGATTTCGTGCTTCCATCTTCCCAACTTACAAGCCAAGTATGTACCGCAAGTCAAATTTGGGGATCAACTGGTAAAGTACAACTCTCACCCAAAGTACTCTCACGTTCAAGCCACCCTCACCAAGACGGCTGCAAAAATAAATTAGGTAGCAGCTGGGGAGCAAACGCCAGGGTACTTAACTGCAATGGCCCTCACATATTCGGTGGCAGAATATTGCTGCGCTGTCTGGATAAATAGCAATCATACTCATATCTTATTGACACTCGTCTTAACAGCGCGATGATAATTATAACGGGCACTCTCTCTCTCTCTCCGATCCAATAGCTCTCCATATTATCAAACATTAATCCCCCTCATTTGAGAAAACAATGTTCATCTTCCCATCCATGATAATTCCGAAAATTTCTTGCATCGCCTGAAGTCCAGAAAACCGTGGGTATTAGGACAGCAGCTACTTTCAACTTTCGGGTTGAAGACTGCTGACGAGATGAATGGTCACAAAGTAATCCTGAACTTCATCACTTGATTACTCAGTACTCAGCCCTCCCGGATTCAACTTGCCAAGAAAAACGTGGACAACACTCAATCGGTTCAGAACTAACCATGGCAGAACTCGCTTCTGGACACGCAAATGGGGACTAACCGACAGCCCTAAGCCCTAACTGCAATTGCGGACATTCCGAACACACCCCTTGCTTTTCATATCGCAACAGAGTGCTCATTAAGGCGCAGTTCTCTTTAAATCGTCTTCATGAGGCTGACCTGGATGCTATAGAATTGATCGCAGAGCTAAATCTTATAGTGTAAAGTGTAAATTTATGTTGATTTTTGAATTGTTTGTATTTTTGTATTGATTTTTTCTTAATTTTCATTATATCATGTGTACTCTTAATAGTCCATACGAAATATATATTTTAAGAACAGAAACTGATCATTTAGTACATTATCACCTTCTCTTATTAGATATACTTAAAAAAAAACAACTTACATAACGTATTTTTTATAAACAATTAGCAACCTTCCTGTTATACGTAGTTCAGTCACAGTAAAATATAATCGGAGATTCTCTGATCCGTTTATATGTATATATTTTATTTAGACCTTGAATGGGAGGTTTTGGAATCACAACAACAAAAGCAATTCATGCTGTTTTCGACATAATCATAGTAATAATAATAGCAATAATAGAAAGGGAAGTGAATCGTCACTTGAACGCACATGAAACGGGTTTTAGCTAATTTTTTCATCAGAACAAAACTAATATAAATAAAATGAAGTAGTCTCTTCTCTAGTTGAATTATCAATTGGTACATCTGATGTATTTCTCGTAAACGTAAAATATATCCTTCTAATTTTACAGACTATAAGTATATTTTGGCATATCTTTGTATTCTCTACTACCATGCAGGTGTTCACAAATTCATCCTCCTCTTTAGTTCTTGGTTTTATAAAAACCAATTTACTGTATGAGAACATTTATATTTTTCTTCCAAGATGATAAAATATCCTGAACTCCTAAAATTGTTCTCGGCATATGGCTTTATTTGTTTGATTTAATTATAGGAATAAGAAAAATGAAGACAAGCTTCGAAATATGTCTGACCAACTGTCGCCTCCTCAGGTAGGTAGTTCAACAGACGACGACAGTGTTTACTAACGGACTAATTAGTCCTAATATTGTTAATTGCCTTTCCGCAATAAATTGGGTACCTATGGCTATATATTAATTGGCATTGCCGTAGCACCTATTCATTAATAAGCCACAACCGTTTATTCGGGTCCCACTTACGACAAAATACAGGGTGTTCCTTTAGTGACATAATAATAGATAAGGGGGTGATGCTTGACCTATTGTCAGAAAACAACCTCTTAAAAATGTATGTCCTAAACATGTTAAGTTTTGAGATACAGGGCGGTATAACATTTCCATTTTTTCTCAATTGGAAATTTTTCTTCTTTTTAATTTCAATTTTTCTTCTTTGATATCGTTATAGATGTCTACTATATTCTATCGAAAAAATCGGCATCCAGTTGGCTTGAAAATGAACATCGATGACATTCCCCATATAATTTTACATAATATAAACTGACAGCGATTTTCATTTCATAGCCACCTTTGACGCCGTTTTTTTTCGATCATATTGTATAATAACATGAGAGCAATTATGAAAAAAGTTTTTGTTAGAAAATTTGACCACCCTGTATCTCAAAAGTTAAGATGTTTAGGACATATATTCATATAAAGTTTTCTACTTAGAATGATATGATAGCTCCAGAATTGACTCCTTAAATATTAACATCTCAATATTAAGGAACACCTTGTATATGTTGTGCAGCTTTATATCTCATTTTGTATTAATTAGATCCTAAAACATCAAATAGTTTTTTTAAATTATAGTTCTTAGGTATTATAAAACCAGTAATATCGTAGTAAATATCTGGTTGCCTACCTACAGCAGTAATTCTTCAAATTGAAAGCTGAATAGCTTAGATTTTCTTAATTTTAGTTCATTAGTTAATTCACTTATTATATAGCTTTTTTCACAATAAAAAAAAATACTATAAAACTCTTGTTTGGAGAACTATAACTTTTTAAATCCTTTATTTGACTACATGTACTATAATTTTACTCCAAAGCATACTTATATTGCATTTTGCAATATTTAATTACAATATACTGTTATACTGCTCAGGTAATATTGAATGGATATGAGAATTTTTTTGATGAAATTGAGTGTTTTTTATGGTGCATCTATTTTAAGACTTGTGAACAAATAATTGGCAATAAAAAGACAGTATTTTATATAAACATCTTATTTAATAAGTAAAAACAACTTTTCTATTTCCTAATGCAGACTAAAACAGCCATGCAATATTTCTGACAACAGATAATAAAAGCTAGTCAGAAATATTGCTTACAACGTTTCATTTTGTTTTATAAAAACGATAACGTGAAACTTCAAAAGTACATTAACAGATCATACTTTTTAAAGACAAAAAATGTCCTGCATTTTTACAGTTTAGTAAATATATCAGTCGAATACAAATAATTACGCATCTACTTTAGCAAGAATGTCTGTTTCCCTGTAGAGATGGTATTCTACGTTTTCTTCAACTTCCACCTTGGTGCCACCATATTCAGGCAGAAGAACTTGTTCGCCTACTTTAACTGCTATGGGAATGTGAGTACCATCCTATAGTTTAGAAATATAGTAAATTATAATATCAGATAATCGTTTTAATAATAAAGTATTACCTCTTTTCTTTGGCCAGGTCCTACAGCAACTACGGTGCCATGCAAAATTTTGCCTTGTGCTTTTTCAGGTATAACAATACCACCTTTCGTCTTAGTTATAGCTTCCGCTTTCTTGATAAGCACACGGTCGAAAAGAGGTACTAAACGTTTCAAGACTCCGCTCTGTAATAAGGAAATTTTTATTTATTAACTTTTAAATTCACAAATGCCATGTAGAATAGTTCTATTGGAATTAGATAAACCTGATCTACCAATGAAAGTATTGTACCCTCAATGAATTTAAATATTAGTAACTTACCATTTTTATTAATTATTCTATTCCTGAGGATATGAAAAGGTACTTTATTATTTGTACTTAACAGTACGAATTTTCTGGAATTACCGGGCAACGAGGCTTATAATTTTTTGAGGTTATCAAATCAATTTGACATTTGACTTTATGAACTTTGATCAATAGAATAATTCATAGAAATTGTAATGGCTGTATTTGCTCGCAGAGTGAGTGAAAAAGAGATAAAAACTCTGACGTACGTCGAAAATTAACTATTTAAGAATTCAATGAAAAAATTATATGTGGATAGGCAACTTATTATACTTCTAGGTTTTAAGTTACAGAAACCTATTTCACTTATAATAAATATAAGATTTCCTATTGAAAACTACTGTTAGATGGCAGAACTAGTACTGGATAATTTTTATACAGTATGATTAAAAATGCTATAAAATCTGATAATGGCTCTCATTTTATATGTAAATTTATATGCGAAATGTCATCGATTATCATTTCCTTGACTTACCTAATTAGTCATACCTTGTATGTAATTATATATAGAGAGACCAAGAGAGACTTTACTTTAATGCCTAGGCTAAAATGACCTTTTTATATTGTCAATCATGTCGCAGAAATTAATACTTTTGTGACGTTTGAAAAAAAAAATACGCGTATTATAGTTATTTGGACTCTAGGGTAATTTCGCATTGATTCGGATAAGTATCTAGTTTTCGGCCCAAATACTTCTATAACTGTTTCTGCTTTGGTTTTGGAAGCATCGATATACGACGTTATACGTTATGGTATGGTTTTTTAACTACTTAACCAACGTTATAGCTAAGAAGAAAATTGATTTAAGAAAATTAATTTATTAAGTTTTTGTAATCCTTTTTTTTTGTAGAAACGGAACTTTACAGACTAACAATAAAATTCCGTCCTTCGATCCGTTTTTTACATACTCTCTACAATACCCAGTTGCGGAACAATAGACACACGACGCGTTTTTTTTCGGGAAACTCGCGGCCGGCAATCCGGAAGTTTAATAATAAGTATATTTTCGTACTTTTATGCTTAGGCGTAAAAGTCCTTTACTTTTATGCCGATGCGTCAAAATGACTTTTTATATTGTCAATCACGTCGCAAAAATTAATACTTTTGTGACGTTTGAAAAAAAAATATTTTTTTTTTAAAAGAAAAACACTTCTTTATATTATAATAATACATATTTTTCTAAAAGAAACGCAATCGCTATATTTCTAAACATTTAGGTAAAAAATGACATACTAAAAATAAACATATTGTTGAAAATTTTCTGATATGTCTTCAGAATATTTATTCTGAAGAATCTTTGCTTCCTGTCCCAATTCTGCATCGGAATAGTTGGAAAGTACATATATTTCGTTAAAATTTTAAAGTTACTTTCCACTTTCTATAGACCGGAAAATCTGTTAATTTTATACCGTATGATCGAAAAAAAAAACGGCGTCCAGTTGGCTTGGAAATGACGATCGATGACATTTCCCATATAATTTTACATTTAAAATGACAGCGATCTTCATTTCATTGCCATCGCTGACGCCGTTTTTATTCGATCATACAGTATTATATCAAAATTTTTGTAAAATAAATTAATTCGAAAAAGTCTTTGTTTCGAGGACATTTTGATTATTTTTTTCATCAAAATTTACTTTGATCGTTTTGTTGTTTTACTACTAAATCGTGCTGTAAGATTGAAATGCCTTATGAAGAAAATATTTTATTTTACAGACTAACTAATTAAAAAAATATATAAGGCACACTTCATTTTATTTCCTCTCTTCAACTCAAATAATCGGTAATTGGTTTCCCGTCCAATTTTCACTTTTTCCAACTTAGCAACCGTTTCAAACTTTTGCTCGAGTGTCGGTCGTATTCGTCGTCGCCCCTAGCGCCGGAGAAACTCTAACTTTCTGCCCTTTCGGCGTCAGTCCGCGCGCACCAAACTATAACTCGCTAAGCTTTCGCCCACGAAAAACAGTTTCCACAAAGTTTCGCTTAGTTTCCGATCGGAGGAAAACTTTGCGACGGAACGGCTGCCGCAATTTCCCGATTGCCGGCCGCGAATTTCCCGATAAAAGACGCGTGTGTCTATTTTCCGCAACTCGGGTATTGTAGGGAGTATGTAAAAAAACGACTGTATGTAAAAAAGGACGGAGTTTTATTGTTATACTGTAAAGTTCCTTTTCTCAAAAAAAAAACATTACTAAAACTTAATTTTTTTTTAAATAGCTTTTCTTGTTAGCTATTATAATGTCGTAGATGTTAGCTATAACGTTGGCTAAGTAGTTAAAAGACTATACTTTAACGTCGTATACCGATGCTTCCAAAACCAAAGCAGGAACTGTTATAGGAGTATTTGGGCCGAAAACTATATAGCTACTCCGAATCAATGAGAAACTACCCTAAGGTCCAAAAAACTATAAAACGCGTAAATTTTTTTTTTCAAACGACACAAAAGTATTAATTTTTACGACGTGATTGACAATATGAAAAAGTTATTTTAACGCCTAGGCATAAAAGTAAAGCACTTTTACGCTTTGAGGCACAAAATGACTTTTTGTGCCTCGTCACAAAAGTGTTATTTTTACTCCTAATAAAGCAATATACTATTTTAAATAATTTTAAATGTTCGAAATAACATAAAAAGATTTAAAAGTAAATAAATAAATAAATAAATAAATGCCTTTATTGTCAAAAAATGTTTCAATTTGTGGACAAAGGTAAACTAACAAACATAGTAAAAAAAAACAAGGTACACAAACAAACAAACAAAAGATAATACAAAACATTATACAAATAATATTGTCAGTCTTATTGTTAAAATAAACATATATAAATGTTTACAATGTCAAAGAACAAAAAAAATTAAAATAATATTCAAAAATATTTAGCCAGTTTATAGCAAAATATCAATGACCTCTAAATAAATTAATTTCTGATGTCATTAGTAAATATAGCAATAGCAAACATTAGACCAGTGTTTTCAAGATCAAATTCGATTTTCAATTCAAATATAATTCATTAACGGCGTAGAAAGCCTTGTCTAGTAAATAAAGAGTTCAATGCTTTGCGAAATGAAAAAAATGATGTTATGGATTTGATTTCAAATGGCAGGTGATTGTGCATTTTTTTCGAGTTGTATAATATTGAACTTTTAACTAACTCTGAGCGTGGGGTAGGTAGATAAAGATCTTGCTCCGCGTTCCTGAGTGGATAAGTGTGAGATGGCCTTTCTTGAGAAGCTGATACATGTTTACGTATTAGGCAAACGGATTCAAATATAAATAAGGAAGGAAGAGTCAATATTTTTAATTCTCTAAAAAAGCCCCGGCAATGAGTTCTGCTGTTTAGCCCCAGTGAATATCGAACAGCTCTCTTCTGGAGCTTGAAAATGCGGTCAAATTGAGCCTTGTAATACCTTGTTAATCCAGAAACTATGGTTACGCTCGTTGAATTTGCCACTTTATGTCAGTGTATGTAATAATATATTTTCTTACTTTTATGTTTAAGGATAAAAGTGCTTTACTTTTATACCTAGGAGTTAAAATGACTTTTTTATATTGTCAATCACGTCGCAAAAATTAATACTTTTGTGACGTTTGAAAAAAAAATTAAACTGACATTAATAATTGTCAAATTCAACGAGTGTACCATAGATAAAGGAAAATAATCTACTATTAAGAAGTGTACCCATTATTGCTCGACTTTGCTCGATATACCGTATAATCGAAAAAACAGCGTCCACTTGGCTTGGAAATGAACATCAATGACATTCCCATTTAATTTTACATATAAAATGACAGCGATCTTCATTTCATAGTTATCACTGACGCCGTAATTACAGGGTATTACTTTTAAAATTATTTGTTTAAAACATTATTTGTGACATTTGCAAAAAATAGTATGTTTTATTCGGAGTAAAAGTGTTCTTTGAGTGCCTCGCCTGTCAAACGAACATCCTCACAACCAAAAGTGTGTCATTTATACCTATTAAAACAATATTGGGTGCGTCTCAAAAGTGGCTCACCCCTATTACTTTTTTATTTTATCAAATAAAAAAACGAGATTTGGTATGTTAGTATATGAAAAAAATTAGACGTATTCAATTCTTTTCGGCCACTTCCTGTTTGAACGGAAATGACTACAATTTTTGATTTTTAAATGGCACCCTCGGTATTTTTTTACTTTATTCGATAGAAAATGACATTCTGAATAGAATGACATATCATGTGTCAACTTTTGACATTTTTGTTTAAAACAAAATTTAATTTTAAATTTCAATATAGAGTGCTATGGCTGTGTTAAGAACACTAATTTTTAATCAAGGAGCCTTGGAAAAATAGATTTCGTCATCTAATGTTATTCGTGTCTTATCCTGGCCGGCTAAAAGATGCGCAAATTGTAATTTTAGTCATATCTCAATTTTTTCAAATGGAACGAGGGTGGCTCATTAGAAAACACCGAGGGTACCATTAAAATCAAAAGTTGTAGTCATTTCCGAGTTGTAGCCCATAGTCCGTCAACCAAACCAAACAGGAAGTGACAGAAAACAATTGAATACGTCAATCAATCCTAATTTATGTCATATATTAATATACCAAATCTCGATTTTTATCTGTAACAATAAAAAAGTTATAGGGGTGAGCCACTTTTGAGATGCACCCGGTATACTATTCTTGAAAAGCATCACCTTTTCAATCTTGAAATTTTACACAACATTGTTTTGACTTTGGAGCACTATAGTCATTATCAAGTACTAAACTATGGCGATTGCCTTGTTGCAAGCCATCATAAAACAAGAAGTACTATAACAAAGAAAAAAACATTTTATTAACGTTAAATATTTATTCAACAAAGAAAATCTGAACAAACAAAGATGCTTGTGGGGAGATGGCGAATTAATATTGCAAGGAGCCAGGGATTAATCCTTAGACCTAGCGCCTATTACTGCGGTCCCCATGTGTCGCCATTACGATTCCCTTTAGTTAGAGTTGTGATCATTTCTCGGCTTTGGGTATACCCTACCCGTACATGGGTTTACTTCCATTAACTTTGCCTTATTAATATTACTAGCAGATGCTTTGGTTTCATATTGTATTATTATATAGGGGAACGCTATATGTTTTGTAGTAGGTAATTATAAAAATGTATTTTTTTAAGCGATGGTCATATGTTTTTTTTAATATCTTATATTTGATATTTTATATAATATGTTAAACGAAATGGAAAGGTAATTACACATTTTATAAATAATCATCATTACATCATTTTTAGCTTATTCAACCATTTCCAATTATGCGTTGGTTTGGCTCTTTGTAGTTGGGCCCAATGTTGTCTGTTGTTGGCTATGCGACCTCAATTTATCCCTGCTAATTTCCTAATATCATGGTCCCATCTCAGGTTCGGTCTTCTTCTAGGTCTCTGAATTCCTTATGGGTACCATGCTGTAATTTTTGTGATCCATCTGTTGTCCGTCCTTCTTGCCAGGTATCCTGCCTAGACCTGTTCGGTGTAGTGAGATTTGAACACCGGTATTAGGTGTTGATGACCACCGGTGTTTCAGTCGGTGTACCGGTGTCAACACCGACACCGGTATTTATCTCACCACCGGTGTTCATTTCAGCACCGGTGTTCATCTGGACACCAGTGTTTATCTCAACACCGGTGTTTATCTCGACGCCGGTGTTTAACTCAACACCGATGTTTATGTCAACACCGGTATCGCAATGAACACCGGTGTCGTGATCAACACCGGTGTCGGTGTCGATGGTGCCATTTGTTTGTTTTTCTTTCGTTTTTTGAATGTAATATTTTTTAGTTTATTTTACAGCTACGAATTTTTGTTTTTTTATGTTTTGTTTTGTTTTCTGTTTGTTTTTGATTAAACAATTTTTTACTTTATAGTTGTTTATCTGACGCTTCCACTTTATTTTAGTGATTAGTCTGACAAAAAAATATATTTAAATTTGAAAGCTTTAAATTAAAGTCGGTGCGCTTTAATAAACGATAAAAATAAGAACCGATACGACATTATTATTATCAGGTTTATTTTGAACTTATTAATTAACATTATTTCTTCTTTAACCCGTTTACCAAACACGTGTGTCGATATCAAAACCGGTGTCGTAATCAAAACCGGTATCGAGATGAACACCGGTGTTGTAGAGGAACACCGGTATCGAAATGAACACCGGTGTCGGTGTCGACACCAGAGCACCGGATAGTCCATATTTGGCTACCGGTGTTAAAACGGTGTTTGGAACAGGCCTAATCCTGCCCATTGCTACTTGAAGGATTTGATTGGGTATGGATGACATCTATTACCTGGGTTTTTTGTCGTATCCACTCTATTCTTTTGCGGTCTTTCTTGGTTATTCCCGGCATAATTATGTTCCACTGAGTGTTGTGCGACCTGCAGTTTCCTTGTTTATGTCCGTTTTAGGAGTTCAGGTTTCGCATGCATAGGTTATGACTGGTAGTACACATTGGTCGAATGTTTTCTTCTGTAGATAAAGACACTTCTTCTGTAGACACTTGCCAAGTCGGTAGGCCATTGACCATGATATGGCCGAGGACCGCGGTTCGGATTCCGCTTACACAAAGTAGGCCCCGGCCAGATTAGCCCTGGCAGCAAAAAGGAGACGTTAACTGAAATCTTTATTTTACTTTTTTTCTTTACGACTATTGGCTATTAGGTTCCAAGATATTCTTCATCTATTTATAGTAATATATAGTAATATCACAGGTAATATGTATAAGTGACGTAAACAGAACATGTCTGGAGTACTAAAGGTTTAGTTTTACTTACGTAAGCTACAATAAAAAACGGCGTCAGAGTTGACTTGAAAATGGTCTTTTTCATTTTATATGTAAAATTATATGAGGAATGCCATCTATCGTCGTTATCAAGCTCGTCAATTTGACGCCGTTTTTTATTCGATCACAAGAAATAAAAAGGCATCAAATTTAGAAAGTGCTTTATTTTAATAAAGATAGAATCGTATCACACTATCCGTTAGAAAGAAGATATAGTCAATAACAATAAAAATTCTAACACAATTTCAACAAATTATAATTCTATAATAGTTCTTGCGAACATTCACCTATTTCTATTTACAGTCATTCAGTATTTACAGTTTTTTTATCATCATGTAAAAAATCTTCTAGAAAGCTCTATGGAAAAATACCGTTAAATTGAGATATAAAAGATGAATTAAGTTATTGATAAACATATTATTCAACACTTGAATGTTTTATAGCTGCCATTCGTTGAAAATAAAACTTTGGCTATACAATGTAGTCATTATTGTTGTCTAAACTGATCACTAACAATAAAATATTGCACAGAAGACAGTAACTACGCTGATGTTATTGGTGTCTTTGTCCAGAATACTTGAATTTGCATACTTGAATTATATATGCTTCCCAGCTATTTGGGGTGGAATGTTGAAAACTTATATGAGGTCGATGCCCATCTCATAAACTCAGCTATCTCTATCTCTCAGTGGTAAGTCTTTCCGCACACTTTTGTCTATAATTATCATTGTGTCAGTTTGAAGACCTTCAAAATTCTTCAAAACTTTCTCACGTAATTCCGGATTTGTAACTAATAACTGTTTTAATGGCCGCTTGAGAAAATAAGCTCTATTGCACAAAAAATAAGTTAAATTATAGCTCACATATCCATTACCAAGGTCTCCACATACTATCAACCCTTTCGTTGGCTTTACTAAAGTCTAATGGTATCTCAGGCTTTGGAGGGGCATTACAACTTCCTGTTGGCTTATCCATATCCATTGGTTCAACTCCACCATTGCTACAACTTCCTCCTGAAGGTCCCGGGCTTGGTGCTTCTTCGTTAGTTTGGCGTAGATTTACTCCTAGAGCATTCGCCAATTGCACGTAATGCTCTGGCAATAACAGTACAAAATTCCCATCGTAGTTTTTGATAGCTTTGGGATCTTCTGTCTTAAGCTCTGGCCGAGGATTATTTAGAGGGTTCATGCTGGTATTATTATTGACTTCCTCCAAAGTACTCGAATCCGGTGGTTGTAACCGTTCTTCGACTATTTGAGGTGGAATATTCGAAGCTTGTCTGAGATCGACGTCCACTTCAGAAACACAATTATCTAAATGTCTTAGTAGTCTCTGTCGGACACCTGTATCTATAACTGTCATCGTCTGAGCATCGGGGGTTTCCAAGTACCTCTGGACTTCCCTGACGCAGTCGGAGTAACCGGCTTTGTAGTGGTTGATCCCTTTGACGTCGAGGCTTCGATGGCGTTGGAAATGGCGAACGGTAAGTTCCAAGATGTCGGCTTTCTCTAGTTTGGAATGTTTGGTGTTGTCCGCTTTGGCGGTATCGAGGATGAGGGTCTTGAGGGCGGCGAGGCTCTGGTTGATTCTAGCGCGGCGTCTCTTCTCCATTAGGGGTTTGTTGGCTCGTCTCGGTTCAGATGGACGCTTACTTTTGGCTGTCATTACTGAGTCATGGACGCCAGCGAAACTGTCGCCTGGAACAAATACATACTGTTTAGTTGCTAGTTATTATGATTAATTTTAATATTAAATTAGATTGTTTTGAAACTTTTTTGTACGTAGTTTATCGAAATATCACAGGGTGAGCGTGCATTAGAAGTTTTTAGATAACTAGAACATCTAGCTCGGAGATTTTTTGCACATCATTGTTTTATAACGAGATTTATTGATTAAAAATATTTTCAATATGGCGGCACTTCCAAAAATACCGGAAGTTGACAACAATTTTCTTATTTTAAAAGGGTACCCCCATTTTTTATTGGATACTTAAATTCTCTGTAAAATTTTATAAATTTTGATATAAAATACTTTATCCTTGACATTAACTTTTATTTATTATTTTTGTTATACTTTTTATTTGTTTATTTTTTTATTATTTTTTTTAATTTATTTATTTTCATTATTTTTGAGAAAAAAAAATATTTAAAACTTTTGGAGGAAAAAACTGCATGTCAAAAAAATTGATATAGCCTAAAAGTCAAAATTAATAATTACCACAGCCATTGTGACATACAGAGAAGACATGTGGCTGAATGTGGCTATCTATTTCAAAAATTAAATTGTTTTAATGTCATATAATAGTGGCCGTAGTTGTCATGGAATTGAACTATTAAAAAATTATCATAAGTCATTTTTTTCAACCGAAAACCCACTTTTTTAATTCACTGGTGAAAAAGTTTCTCAAATCGTTAGTTTTTGATATGTTTTTCTGTACCTAAAATAAATGGCTTTTAAATTATTTAAGATTTAGCTTAAAAGCGTATATTTTTCTTAATGAAAATACGATTGAAAAATATCTATTTATTTCTCTCTAAGTCGATATAGAAATTTGGAAAACTATAAACGGAACTAACCATTTTAGAGCAAGCAATTTTTTTATAAAGAATTCATTTTTCTTAAAATGTCAATAATATAAAAGTTTTTCCTCTTGTAAAGACTATCCGGAAACATACTGTATAGTTCTTATGAAAAAAAAACTTAAGGATTTCGTTTAAGTTCAGGTCTAAACTGGGTACTAGGTTCTATTTCATGAAAATATTACTGTTTATTTATACAGGATGTCTCGAAAATTTGTGATTAGCCGAAGGTCTATTTTTTAAATGGCACACCCGGTATAGTATTGCATATTTCCTGGTTCAGATCTTTTCTTGAATACTTGAGATAATCTTCAGTCGTTATTTTTTTGAGGTGAAACTTCTTTCCGCTGATGGGAGTGAAAGTTGAAGGCTGTGACACACGAGACGCGAGAGGAAAAGTGGTAACGATCAGAGATTATGACGGAGCGTCGTGACGGGCCCTATGTGAGCTAGGGAGCTGAAATTCGGAATGAAGATATTTTCGAAGATATTCTCGAAAAGCTTTTCATAATATTTTGGCGACGTTTCGTGTACTACGAACCGTTATTATCAATGAATCAAATCAAAAATTCGTCCGATTTAAATGAAATTTGGTATGTCGATAGATTGAAACAAGGCCAACTTGAACGTGTACGACAGGTGTCACTGTGACAGTTAGTTTTGACGTAAGAAACGTCAAAAGTTGATGTAGTCCGATCGCGACCAAATTTGGTGGGTAGGCTATGTGAGCGATGTTGTACACGGTCCCACCCTGCAAAGTTGGATACGACATTTCGTTTACATCTTCATCAGAGTGGAATTAACGATTTGATATTGAAGAAAAATGTGGGTCGATTTTGGCTTAATTGGGGACAGGCTACAGGATGACGCCCTCGACGTTTCGAACCGATGCCTCTAAATGGACGAAATCATCGGGATTTTTCTTAATTATGGGTCGATTAGAATCAAACTCGGCACGTGGATAGAGGCACCCGAATGGAGTGCTCAGACGGACAGACGGATAGACAGACAGAAGGAAATAAGGAGAAGTTTCACTCCAAATTTGCGCACATAGTGCACACACAATTTTTTTTAGATACAAATGGATAAATAAATAGAAAATGGATTCTGCAGCATTTTATGAAAAACATATTGTTTATTACAATTTCTGTGTATTTACTGTATTATAAATATTTTAATGTAAATTATACAAGGTACTTAAAATATAATCGGCGATAATTTTGGTCTGTACTCAATCAATACTCTAATCTGTATTCTTATTAGTTTTTTATGACGCTTACAGCGAGCTGGAGAAGGTTGTAATTTATTTTTACATTGAGTAAAGATGATTTTTAAATGGTGTAGTTTAAAATTCGAGAAAAAAATATTTTTTTTGAAATAGACTTGTGCTTCTCGAAAAGTTATATCGTTTTTAATCTTTTTATAATTATTAGTGTTAATTTTTTACAAGTTTTTTGTAAACTTTTATCATCGATTATCATACCCCAGCCATTTTTTTTGATCATACGGTTTTATGTATGCTACCTTGGAAAGAAATGAAATTCAAAAATAAAATTGATCTGGTATTCTGTGTAAGAACACTTGTTCAAAATACTGTATAATAAAAACAAAGAAATAAAAAATAAATAAAAAAATAAAATAAACAATTAATAAAATAAATAATAAAATCGAGAAAAAATGTAAAAAAAAACAGAGTAAAAGATAAGATGATCAAACGTTTCATGTAAGACTTATATAGAGTTGAAAAAAATGCTTTAACTCACCCTCTAGTGTAAAAAAGTCCGTATTTTCTACGAGAAATCGCGCCAAAATTCTTTCGAAATTTCTCAACAGCCGACAAAATAAAAATCCGACAAAAATATTTCAAAAAAATCAGCTTTTATCAGCGTTCAAAAAAATTCACCGCCAATCAAATAAACAACAAACTTTCTCTATTACGCTTACGTCTCCCCGAACTATATCGCTTGGCGTGGCGTTCCGACGCGTTCCCGATACCCGTCTGGTCGTCGTCGCGGCGCTTCTACGCTCGCCGGCGTCGCTTTCTGGGCAATGAGGCGTCGAGTGCCGGAGGCGCGCGGGGGCGGCGGTGGAGGCGACAGGCGTCGGTGGACGGGGGCGGGTGGGCGCGGGGCGGGCGGGAAACCGTTTGGTCGCGTGCCGACACCGCCACATCGCGCTGCTGGCACCGATGGAGGTCCCCGCACGAAGTGAGGGAGGTTGGGAGGCGAGGAGGGAGTGAAGAGGTGGGTGAGGGAGAGTCGGTGCTGGTCAAAATGTTATCGGTACGGATTTCGTTGGTTTTTTTCAGGCGCTGAGGTTAATCACTATGACCTTATAGATCTATTGTGTCCTCCTTTCTTAAATTCTAACTCATCATACAGGGTTTAGGGAAAAGCCAATATCTGAGACGGCTTTACAGAAGGTAGGGGTGAAGTTTTTTTACTTGATATCACTTATAAAAAATCCAAAACAAACACCAAAAAACCAAAGCAATCAAAACACGATGTAACCTAAAACGCGTCTGTTTACGAATTTCAATTGACAAGTACTTTTCAAATCTTGATATGTCAATATTTTATCAATAAATGAAAATGGTACACTTCCGCCAGAAGTGTTTTTGTGTGTCTATGTTTAGAAAAATTTCTAGAATGAAAAAGAGAAACGCCTTTTTATGTAGCTATTCTAAAGTAGAAAAACTGAAAATTATGCATTTCTGCAGAAATTTTTTTCTGACATATTATTCAAAAAGGCTTCCAAATTAAATAAACAAATATTTCTTACATAATTCAAGTAAACGAAACTTGAGCCGAGGCTAGTTCTTCATATCCGATATCAGTCACACCAAAGTTTATGACATGGATGGTTGTCGTTTCGGCGCAATCAATGATAATGTGTTCTGGTGTTTCCCCATTTTCCCGACAGAATCTGCATTCGCCGTTGTTTCTCAATCTACGTACTGAGGTGTTCATGTTAAAAAACATCAGTGTCATGTTAAAAAACCCGCGACAATCCAAAAATTGTTCTTACTTAAATCAAGAAAAATCTTTGATTTCTTTCGATTGTAAGTCCTGTGAAACTTCTTCGAGTGTCTTCGACCGTTGAAGGAATCTCATGCCAAATTAGGGATGGAGTCTTCCAGGTTCTTGAGTTCCACTTTAAGTTAGTTTTTACTTGCGACATCTGGTCTGTGCAACTATTGTAGTGAAGAAAATGATTTCGAGCACACGCTGTTTGTCTACCCGAGATGGACTACACAGAGAGATATATTTATGAATTTCACTGCCTTTTAACGCTGTCAACATGATGGACGGACTTACTGGAGAACTAAAGCAGTGGACAAAAACCTATAAAACACAATTCGGAATATTATTTCTGGGAAAGAAAATGATCTTAGAGAGCAATTATGCCAACTTCTACTCTGAAGTATTGCGAAAACGGTTCCAGAGTAGAATAGTGAAGAAAAGGAGGGGTACGAATCTTACACTGTCCACAACCACCACTACCGATGGACGTCTGTGTAAGATTTCTCTTTCTACAAAAAAAGTTAGCTTTTACTTGGGAAGCAGAACAGTTCTGGTCCAATTAGTTGTGTGTTTGCTCCTTTTCTAGCTAGATCGTTTGCTTTCATTACCTTCTATCTATTGGTGGGCTGACACCCAAAGTATGTGTTTCCAATAGTTATATTTTCGATAGATCCAAGAGATAAGTTGTACGCATCTTTCAACTGCGTAGATTTCTACCTGAACGATGCTGGGTTAGGTGTTGTTCCTGCTTTGCATAGGTCTTGTTCCTGCTTTGGTTTTTGAAGTATCAGTATACCGCATTATGATATGGTCTTTTAACTGCTGAGCAAACTTTTCTCTCTTCCAATTGTTTTTATTGCTCAATGCTACAGTGAGGTATTCTATAAGTTGTACATTCTTGGTAAATCATCCACTGGGAGTTGAAGAAGTGGAATTTTCATTGTGAGGGCGTTCCAAACTTCTGAGCTGCTGGGCCTGAATTCTGGAATTTAAACGTTACGCTTCCAAAACGATACGCGAAAGTATTCGATTAGTGGAACGCCAAGTAGTCGATTTTGGTATTCGCGTTGCCGTGCGAATCGTTTTCTTGATACGCATTGAGCGCATATTGGCAGCATCGCAATTTCTCAGGTATCTAATAGTCAAATATGAATAAAATAACGAAAAATGTCAATTTTACGTGAATTTTATAAACTATTCTTGAGTTATGTCAATCTATTTTTCTATGGATATGTCATATATTCTTATTATACGACGGAAATGTTGAAAACGCTTCTCAGCATTTTCGATGTTTTGAACAATATTTACAGCTGCCAAGTCGTAAATTATCAATTACTTATTGAGGAATTTTTAGAAAAGGGTTTTCACTAAAGAGCAAGAGAAAGCACAAAATCAAATTTTCTAATTTTACTGACAGTTCGACAAGCAAAACGATCCTTTAAGGTAGCCGTTTTCGAATCGCTTAGTGCAATCAGTTAAGCGCGTCAGATGAGAATACCCAAATCGGTAGTTATGTACGCTCTAAGCGAAAATTAATGTCATATACGCTGAGCGTCTAAAAGCGCTTAGCGTTTTCTAAGTTACAGAATTCGGGCCCTAACACTTCTTCCAGTGCAGTTACTAATAATTTTCGCATTGGCAACCTTTGAGACTAACTCTGATTATAACTGTGACTGTAATTAACTCTAACTATATCTAACTGTTAGACTGACAATTTTAAAACAAATCCAGATCGAGGTGATGCAAGCAACTGTTAGCCGGCCGCAAACCGATTGGTTTTCTATCAGCCTGGTTGAGTAAAATTTAATTTTACATCGTTTTGCTCAACTTGATAATAAATCCGTCTTAATTTTGGTCCGCTATTATACCCACAATTCATTTTCATATTGTTAAAAAAGCATTGAAAATTATCCAAAACTCCATGAAATATTTCCGAAAACATTTTGATTGCCGCCGTGGTCCCTACCCGGGGGCGCGGGTGGGCCGCCGCTTGTTAGACACGAGACGCGTCAGACACGCGCCGCCGCGTCCACGCCGCCGCCACCGCCGCAGCCGCGTCGCGACGCCAACGCTGCCCGCGGAGAGCGCCGTTTGCGCCAGCGATAGGATAGCACTACGAGTTTTAAAGGGGAACTAGCCAACGGATTGGGAGAGAAGAGTCGATGAGATATCGGTAATTACGGCTAATATTTCTTACTATTAGGTATGATGTAGTTAAATCCATTCAAATTGGGGTTATTTATGCATCATTGTAGATTATATTTTATATGAGAGGGATAAATTAATTACCGCAACCTCTTATATCTATTGTGTCCTCCTTTCTTGAGTTCTAACTCATCATACGGTCTATAAGGGCTTTGACATAAGTCACTATCTGAGACGGTTTTACAGAGGCTAGTTTTCCATTTTCCATACCAGTCGTATCAAAGTTTATGGCACAATTTTTTGTCTTCTCGGCACACTCAGTGATGAGGTGTTCTGGTGTTTTCTCATTTTCTCCACAGAATCTGCATTTGTCGTTGCTTCTTAGCTCCAATCTACTGAGCTCTTCATTGAGGAGACAGTGTTCTAATGAAGACCACGTGACAATCTGAAGATTCTTCTTACATAAATCAAGGAAAATTTTTGGTTCCCAATCCTGGTTCTTGAGTTTCGGTTCCACCTCCAGGTTGAGTTAAATCTTGGGTTTTTTTTCGGTCTTAAGTCTAAAAAATTTCTTCGAGTGTCTTAAGCCGGGTCTCCACCAAAGCAACATATGTCGACGACATTGTCATTAACTTTTGTTACTATTTTCATAAATATTGTCGAGAAATGTAGATCGTACCTACCAAAGAAATATTGTTGCTTGACTTCATTTTTCGACTAAAGAGCGAAAGTTTAATTAATGTTTATCAACATGTGGAACGACGAGGATGTAATTATAATCTCAGCCGGATTCCTTATTATTTCGCGAAATGAGCATCGTCAAGCCAGACGGCAACGTCGTTTTTGGATACGTCCTAGCCTCCGGAAGAGAAGTTTACATAGTGGTAGTGACTTGCTCACTGATGTTTGTACAGATAACTTAAATCCGCTCCACAATGAAATAAGAAGTAGTTTCAAGAATTTTCTAAGAATGAGATCAGCTGTCTTTGAATCATTGCTCCAAATGATTGGTCTCAGGATTTGTAAAATGGACACAAATTATCGAGATGCAATTCCTGTTCAGGAGCGTCTTGCTATTACGCTTAGATTTTTGGCTTCTGGGGATTCATATACTAGCCTTTGTTATCTTTTCAAATGTGGAAAGCAGACGATTTCAAAAATAATACCAGAAGTATGTGATGCACTAAGAGCTGAACTTAAGGAAAATGTATATATGGTAAGTATTCATAACACAAAATATCCGTTTTTTCCAAAAAAAACTCAGCAATCCTTGAAATTTTTAAAACTTTTTTGATGGCATCTTGGTGAACATCTCAAAGTGCAACTTTGCCCCAATTTAACCATATTCGTATCTATTACGGTAACCGAGTTACCAATGCTCGTACCTCGAATTTGTGGCACCCTGTATATTTTTTAATTTTATAAACTAGTTGATTATGTATGCAAAATTTTTCACAAAAACTAAATAGAAATTACTATTACTATTATTAAGGATGTAACTAACCGCGCTATCCATCCTTCTGATCTATCTCCCCAACCACCACTGGCGCAAACACCTTTTTCCCGCTCTCGCCCCTTAACTGCGCCCCGCGCGTGACGGCGCTAAGCCCTCGACTCGGCCCCCGGGGGCAGCGAGCTGGGCCGCCCGCGCCACCCCATCTCGTCGCTGCTGGCCGGCTTTATTACTGCTCATTTACCGGCCAACCTGTTCGGTGCCCCCGGCTAAGGCTGCGGGGGCGGCGATGGTAATGGGACCACGGTGGTGTAACCGCCGCCGTCGCAGCGGATTAAACAGTGGCTGGTGGTGGATGAGAGGTTGTAGGGTTGAAGGCGGATCAACCTCAAAATGGTGAGATCTTCTAAAATTATAGTGATCATTA